ACGCGGCCACTGTGATCGGCAAATAGACATTCATTTTGAAGGAATGAAGAGTTCATAAGTTTCTTCTTAGTATGTCTATTATGTCATGTTTGTCTCAATGTAACAGGAATTCCTACAAAGTGACTAGTTACTTATTCCAGCAACCGCAAACAAATTTAGTGGCAGTCTCTACAAGTCCAAGGTAATCTATAATATATAATAAATACGCAGTTACTATGATATGGAATGTTATAATTTTTTGCTAAGTACAGCAGAGTCAACTTTTAAAGGAAAATGTATTCAATGGTTCATTATTAAAAATTATCGTATTTTTCAGTCGAAGTATTAGGGCAAATGAATGTAATTTCAACTATGTGGGCGGATTTGTGTGTGTATGTTGTAGAACACTAAGCCAGCATTTTTCTTTTTGCCTAATATTACGTCACATGTTGCATTTGGGCCCTCATTAAGAAGAATAAAGGTCCACTGGGAGCCATAAAAAGAAAGAAGAGAGACAGGGGGAAGTGAATTTTTTCCAACATTTAGTGAGACACTAATTGACTGGAGTTCGTATGCCTATTTACCCTGACTGGAACATTTGAAACTTATTTTTATTCCTCTTTTTATAATACCAGAAAGATCAAAGGTTTTTTACATCCCTTATCCTTCCTTAAAACCTCATTTTGGTATAGCAGTAAGGACTAAGAATTAAATAAATTAATGACATAATTTTAAAATATTAAGGTTCGCTGTACAACATAAGGAGTATCTGACAGTGAGCTGTATTGTAATGGATAATGAGAGTTCCTTTACACATCGTAAATATTTCTGTGGTTGAGTTAGCATGTTATACTATAAGGGACGTCATTTGTGAAAAAAGGTACGCTTTTACCGAATTCGTTTAACGGAGAAATGTTTATTAAACTCCGAATGTCAGATGTCTTTTACACACGCACGTTAATTCAATCCAGTGATTAGTATGGGTGATAGATACATTATAGTGGTCAGGTTAAAGGTGGAAATCCACGTGTAAGACCTAGGAAAGACCGAACTTATTTAGGACTGAGTCATATAACGATATTTTGTAAAAACGGTAATGAACCTTCTGGTTCTGTTAAGACCGGATATGTATCGACCGTCAGAGTAACTATCGACATCTGAAGGAAGGTTTTGCATCACGCAGTTCGTAACTCAGTTGTTACCAGTTGCGTAGATCCATGCTATGTTATACACAGAATCTGCTGTGTTCTGTGGCGATTCTCCTATTACAGAATTTGCATAAAACAGAAACATCCACTGCAGGGCATGTTTTGAAGAAATTGTTATTTGTTTATGCACACGTCAAGGTGTTAGTTACGTAGAACAATACTTTATGCAGTTTTTAATGAATCTACGTGGTGTGGGCACTTAAAACAGCCCACATTTCGTTACGATGCTGTTTAAAACAATTTTCCTCGTTTTTCCCCTTTTTTGTTAGAGAATTGAAATTGGAAACGAACAGAAGGTAGTGGAAAGGGGAAATTGTGTTAGGTCTAATTACGAAGCTTAGAGTATATTTATGACAAAATTTTAATAGGTTTCTTTAAATTGGTTCATATCGTCTGATTGTGGAAAAAGATTGGGATTAATTAAAGATTATTAATGGTTTTAGTATGATCCTTTATATTTAAGTAATAAATGTAAAATATGTGGAAAGTGTACTTAGTGGCTTTTGTCGCTTTAAAATTATATTGCTCTCTTGAAGTCCGTGCCTCTACTATTTGAAGCCGTGAGATAAGTATATGTACCATTTGTTGTGACAACCGGTAACTCTACATTTTTCTCACTTAGTGCGTTTTCTTGTCTGATATGATTCTTGGAGCAAACAGCGAGTATTTCCTTAAACATCACAAACAAATTGATCTTTGTAATGGAAGCGCGTTGTATTTTTATTTAGAAGATTTTCCGACTTCAAAGTGTGAATACGTGTCCTATATTTTGGGTGTTCCATTTTAAGGAAAGCTTTTTAATTTTTACGTGGTCCTCTTTTAAGTTTGATTATGTTCATTTACTATTATTATTTGCCATACGTAGTTTTATTCAGCAAATAATCGATATGTCGGGAAGTTAATAATATTTCGTTGGTTTCTGTAGCCTTCAGCTCTTCTGTTTTACTCGTAGTCTTGTAGAATGGTATCACAGTGCTTGAATTGTCCTGTACTTACGATTCCGAGGGAACGATACTATATGTAGGATTTCGAAGATGGATGCCTTCTGGGTTGTAGCGTCATGTAATCTGGTAGACGTTTATCAACGTTTCAGAGGTCCTTTCTGCCTCCATCATCTGGATGATGATACGATATGTGTTTTAGGAAACGTATTAGTGAGTTTCGTGTGTACGTATTTCGCCCGTCCCCAGTTTTGAACCAGAAACATCTATATTAATGATAGGAATGTAGTGGGATTTGTGAAGTTCGGTATGAACATCATGCCAGCAGATTACAACTCACTTTTATATCGAATAATATCAATATGGCCGCAGTGAGAACGTTTGAAGTGAGAGCGAAATTAACTTTGTTGAACGTAAAACAGGCATGTCATTCGCGCGGCCCACTTCAATGACTTATGTGAACCGAGTCGATTTTCGAATTATGCATGATGTACGGCCCTAAATGTTCCAGTTCTAAGTTTAAAATTTATGTGAAATACTTTTGTACCGCTGTTTTATATTTGAGTTAAATAAACTATGAAATTTGTCTCAATAAGATTTACAATTGTGTGTAAACAAAAACTATCTTAACTCAGATCTAAAAGATTGTGACGATAGTGCGTTATTTGAATAAAAAGTTTTTT